AAAAAAAAAAAAAGAACAAAAAGAAAGAAAAACAAGAAAAGTATAATTAATCCCGTCGAGTCGCAGAAGAGAAACGAGACGGAAGGAAAGAGGGGATTAACAGGTGGCTCCATTAAACGCGATCCGCGTCCAAGAATGCCCGAGAGACGAATGAAGGATGCTTCCCTGTCAAAACGAAATTATCCTCGTTCGGCCATTTTCCTCCTACTTCCTTCTTCTTTTTGCGTATGATAAAATTAAAAAGTTGTTATTTGCAGCGCGCTCGGTTCTTTCTATATACCGATGCTGGTCATGCTGTTTTTCTACTGGAGGATCTACAATGCAGCCGTCTCCACCACGAAAGCTATTAATCAAGGCTTCCGTACGACAAAGAGCTCGAAAATGTTTGGATCCAGGTAAATCCGACGTACAGCTTCCCCGAAGAAATATGGAAGGGATGGAGAATAATTACGACGCGTATTATTCCATCATCATTTCACGCCGCCATTTCAATTTCGATTTCAACGAAAAAAAAAAAAAAAAAATGTTCTCGCTGTTTTTGTCTCTTTAAAATTTATTTTGTTTCTTCTTTGATATTCAGTTTTATTTCCTTTCTTTTCTTGGTAAAGATTAGAAATAGCAAAATTTCCAGTTAAACATCGAAACTGTGACTCACTTATGTGTTCAAAACTATTGATTTGTTCCCGAATGGTTTTCAAAGAAGAAAAGTAAAAAAAGAATTACGATTAACAAAGAATAAAAAGGTTGACAATGACTGAAGGATTAATATCTACCGAGGAAAATTAAAAAGAGAGAGAGAGAGAGAGAGAAAAAAAAAGAAAGACAAGAAAACTGAAATATTCTACGCGAATCTTTTCGCAGATTTGACGAACAAAGGTTGACCTTGAGGATTCACCGTGGTCGAGGCAGCGTGCATAACGGGAGCAACAACGGGAGCCCGAGAAGTCCCGAGTCGAATAGCCGGTGCTCAGTGAAAAGGGACAAGATAAAAATCTCGGTGTCGTATCCGAGCACGGAGACATTGAATACAAAGTGTAACACCCTCGAGAGGACACCCTCGAGGTGTTCTCAGACCTCTGTGCACTATAGCAACGGACAGACGCACAGTCAACTGTGTCCCACCCCGAGGAGTACGCATCTCAAGGTAACTCCGCGATTCCACCATATTATTCTTCCTTAAAATGTCTTCGATGTTGCTGTTCTCTCTGATAAGGAATAACGACCGAAGATAGACGTCAACTCCACGGGGCTAAAAATAAAATCTCTTCCGTATTTCTTTCTCGAAATATAAAATCTTTAAATTGGAAATTGAATTATGTAGATTTGGATTATTATATGGCGTAATGCGTTTCTTTTTAATTTTCGATTGAATACTTGTCGAACTATTTTACGGAATATCCTATTCAATTTTTCCTAAATAATCAATTTTCTATCGAATAGGAAAACTTTGCAAGTTTCTAAATTTATTAATATCCCGGTCTGTTTCTTCTAAATAACAAAATTTTCTAGTTTCTTATTTCTTTGCGCAAATATATAATTCTCATCGATATACATACTGAAATAGTTTACTGTTTTACGATCCGAAACGGCGAAAGCGTATACGATCGTAAAATCGTCAAATCGTAAAATCCCGGTAACGCGTTTGCACGTCCCTGGAGAGAAATTCTAGAGAACAGTGTCGTTAAACGTTGGCTCGATATGTTGGTGACAGGTGAGCGGTATCAACAGGGTTGGCAGCACCAGGAGACCCAGCAGACGAAACAGCTGCGAGAGTCAAATGATGGGTGATGAGATGTCGTTGCGAGAGCTCACCCAAGGTGCTGAAGAAAAGCCCAGGGTGATGAAGATGGGGAAGAGGAACATTAAAGCTCAGGTATCCTCGGTCGAGTTCTCGGCAAGTGAAATCAAGCTTAGAGATTAAATCAAGTTTGGTGGTTTGGATTTGCTTTTGAAACATTTTGAGATAATTTACTTCTACACTCTGATTTATTTGAAAGTAAGAGCAAAGATGGAATGAGAATATTATCATTATGTTATTTTATATGATGAAGTAAGATATCTCTTAAGGAACAATTGTCAGGGATTATTGGTTTGATAGAAGAATTGAGTAGGATCAGGAAAAGTGGATTCTGCAGGGGAATTTATTTGAAATAGAAGAAAAAGATAAAATAAGACAACTTGATATCTAACAGATTATCGGTTTGATGGAAGAGTGGATATTGTAGGAAATTTATTTCATATATATAGAATGAAATTGATGAAATAAGATAAATTAATCTCTGGAAGAATAATTTTGATAAAAGAATAATAGAATTGAGAAGATTGAGTTTTATAGGAAATTGATTTGGAATGAAATTAAATTATTGATAACTCGGGTATTTACAAATGAAATCAAATGAATCTCCCTGCTATTAATAAATAAATTAATAAAGTATTGTATTAATAAGTTTGTGTAAT